GCGTGCCAAACATGGGCCCCATCAACTCGGCGACTGACAATCTACCACTGCAACTAAAGAGACGCAGCCACGAAAAACCGACTTATCATCTCTAACCGCGCGAGCCTGGGCCCGGGCGGTCTCCTCGAAGCTAAGGGCAACGGGCTCGGCAACGACTCGATGGGCGAGGAGAGCGCCTCCGACAGCTCAGAACGCGAGACCCATGACCAAAGCTGCGAGGAAGCAGATCGCACGGCCTGCCCGCCGCACCGCAGCGCTCCGCCGAGCGAGGGGGCGAGGTCTTGCATGGGGGACTGCACAAACTACGGCGTGAGCCGCTGCGTTGTGGCACGCACCACTATAACGATAAAAGCACGCAGCAATCAATGATGTGAGGATGGTGATGATGATGCTGATGCTGATGCTGATGGCGATGCTGCTGATGATCATGATGGTGATGACGTTGATGGCCGCGATGAACATGCAAAATATGGCACAAGTGATGCTGCTGATGTTGTTGATGAGGGTAGTGATTAGCACGATGATGTTGATGCTGCTGATGATAATGATGATGCTGATGTTGAAGATGACGCCGATGATGACAATGCTGATGATGGTTCGGACCTCGCAACACGAACGGCGGCATGGACGCGCCCCGGGCGTTCTCTGCGCCGCCGTTGCGAGGTGCCTCGAGATGCCACCCCGAAACACGGCCACCGGCACCACCCCCTGGTCGCCTGCCTCCAACTGCGGAAGCCCCGCTGCCCAAGGACGTAAGTTCCCGCGCCCCCCTCGTCGGGGGACTCCTTCGCGTAACCCCATCGGGCCTCTCAAGGGTAGCACGGCGGGCACGCACCTACTGTGGCTGGCCAACCACAGGGCAAGAGTTTCTCCCACACCCCCGCCGAGCTGTGGTGACGATCGGGCTGCCAACCCGCCTATTTTCCTGAGGCGCCACGAGGGCACCCATTGGTGTGGTGGTGATGGCGATGGTGATGTGGATGGTGTTGATGGTGAAGATATGATGGTGAAGGTGATGTTGATGCTGATGTCGGGACGATGATGCTGCTGACGGTGGTGATGATGACGATGGTGATGATGACGATGGCGAAAAATGCCGATGATAGTGATATTGGTTCGGGTGTTGACGGTGATATTGGATATGAGGATGATGATGACGCAGGTGATGATGCCGATGACGATGGTGATGGTGGTGATGATGATGATGATGATGATGGTGATGCGGGTGTTGATGACAACGCATCATCCCGATCATGACAACAACGACCAGCATCATCACCATCACCGACATAATCTTCATCACCATCACCTCCATCAGGCTAGCACTACACCAACATAATCATCCTCATCAACATCATTATCACCATCGCCAACGGCAGCATCACCGACGCAATCGGTCTCAACATCACCACCACAACCACCATACTCATGATCACCATCGTCGCTGTCGCTGGTGTCGTCATCGTGCTCATTATGCCGCCTCTTTCTCCCGTAACCACCTGCAGCTCCAGGGGAAGGATAGCAGGGGATGGGAAGAGGGAAGGCCGTGGGACACACAGGGACGAGAGGGATGGGGAAGGGGTGGGAGCCGAGGGGGAAGGTGGGAAGATGAAAGAGAGGCGGAAAAGGGGCACGCCATGGGGAACCTTTTGAGGCGTACACCCTGCCATTATTGGACGGATTGTGCTGCAACTTGCCAGCTGAAAGGAAAGGATGCTGAGTCCCCAGCGCAAAAAAAAAAGAAGAAAACTACCAATACCACTGCGGGTGATATTTATGCAACAGAGACGCCGACAATCACACATAGCGGCTGGACTCATCAGAGTGAGGGGGCCGAGCGGCCCCTGGACGCGTGACTGAAGTGCTGTTGTTGTTGCTGGTGTTGCTGATGCTGTGCTGTGCTGTTGTTGTTGCTGATGTTGCTGTTGTTGGTGTTGTTATTGTTGACGGATGTGTCGTTGGTGGTGTTGATGTTGAACTCTCACTTCTGAAGAATAATTATTGTTGGTCCCCCCAAACGGTGCACACTGTTTTTCTCAGTCAAGGTGCGCCCCTCGACGCTCGCACCCTGTTCCCCCCCCAGATTACAACAACAACGGTTCCCGCCTGAGACTTCCTCACAATTTAGCCAGGACCCGCTCCCGCACGAGACTTCCTCGCAGTTTATTCAAGAATCGCGCCCTCGCTTGGGACTTCCTTAAGATTAACTCAGGAATCGCTCCCCCTTCGCTCTGGAGTCGCGCTCTCGCTGGGGACTTGCTTGCAACTTACTGAAGAATAGCGCCCGTGCGTTGGAACTTCTTGCAATTTACTCCAGCGCCGCGCTCCCGAAACCCAGGCACCCAGGAGTCGCGCTCATGCTTAGGACTCCTTCACAGATGACCTAGGAATCGGGATCTCGCTGCCCTTCGTGGCCCCGTTGCAGCCCTTCGTGGCCCCCTCGCTTTGTTTCGTGGCCCCGTTGCAGCCCTTCGTGGCCTCTCGCTTTGTTTCGTGGCCCCGTTGCAGCCCCTCGTGGCCTCCTCGTTGCCCTTCGTGGCCCCGTCGCAGCCCTTCGTGGCCCCCTCGCTTTGTTCCGTGGCCCCGTTGCAGCCGTTCGTGGCCCCCTCGCTGCCCTTCGTGGCCCCGTCGCAGCCCTTCGTGGCCCCGTTGCAACCCTTCGTGGCCCCCTCGCTGCCCTTCGTGGCCCCGTTGCAGCCCTTCGTGGCCCCCTCGCTTTGTTTCGTGGCCCTATATATGTATACCCTTCGTGGACCTCGCTCGTTCGCGCCCGTGGTGGCCCCATATGCGTGCCCTTCGTGGCCCCGCTGTCGCCCTTCGTGGCCCCCTCGCTGCCCTTCGTGTCCCCGTTGCTGCCCTCAGTGGCCCCGTCCGTACCCTCCGCGGCCCAACATACGTATGCCCTTCGTGGCCCCCGCTCGTTCGCGCCCGTTGTGGCCCCATGTGCATGCCCTTCGTGGCCCCGCTGTCGCCGTTTGTGGACCCCTCATTGTCCTACGTGGCCCAGGTGCTACCTTTAGTGGCCCCATCGTTGCCTTTTGTGGCCCCGCATTATCTGCCCTTCGTGGCCCACGCTCGTTTGCGCTCTTCGTGGCCCCATACGCATTCCCTTCGTGTCCCCACTGTCGCCCTTCGTGGCCTACTTCGTGTCCTTCGTGGCTCTGCTGTCGTTCTCTCTCGCTCTCGCTTTCGCTCGTCGTCGGTCCCCTGTCCGTCCCTCTTGGGGTCGGGTCGACGGTCCGCGGCCGCCCCGCCGCTTGCCGGGGCCCGGCCTGCAGGGAAGAAAAGTATACCCCCCAAAAGGGGTTCGATCGAAGACGAAAAGGGCGGTAATCGAGGGTTTGGGAAATTCGCGTTTTCCGACACTCGAGCAGATAAGGGCGAACAGTCTTAAAATGATTGTTGTTGCTGTTGTTGTTGTTGTTGGTGTTGTTGTTGGTGTTGTTGTTGATCGTGTTCTTGTCTTTGTTGTTGTTGCGTTGCTGTCGTCGTCCTCGCCCGCGGCCCACCCCGCGACCCACCCCGTGAGCCACCCCGCAAACATCCAGCGACCCACCCGCGACCTACCCACATTGCTTTCACTAAAAACTCTGCGCCTGCGGCGGGCTCGTCTCATAATCTGTAGAATGCGGCACCCGCGGCGGGCTCCTTCGGAGCCTCGCAGACTGCCGACGACCCCCCGCCCCCTCACTGAGCCTCACTGTTTATCCGTATCTGCGGGGCGCATGTATGTGGCACGTGTGGAGGCAGCGCGCTGGATACACATGTGGACGGCTGACCCGATCGCTGGAAAAGCATGCGGCTATCTGTGTATCCAACTGACGCCCAAGCCTGCCGCGTCACGTGCATCCAGACTTCCGGTAAGGGCCTTGGCACTTGACGCCACAGACAGACCAGAGCCAGCGAGACGGGAGAGGCGACGGTCGCCGAGGACTCGCTGCGGCGAAAGGAAATTGCCACTGAAGGTCGGAGTGCGAACATGTTCGGGCCGACGCGGGCTGGCAGGAGTCCGCTACTTTTTGGGGCACGCGCGACAAGAGGCTGCGCGGTGGCGAGATGCGCCTGCACGTGGAGAACAAAATGGTAAACGCGAGGGGGAGCAGGAGGAGGAGGAGGAGGAGGAGGAGGAGGAGGAGGAGGAGGAGGAGGAGGAGGAGGGGAGGAGGAGGAGGAGGAGGAGGAGGAGGAGGAGAGGAGGAGGAGGAGGAGGAGGAGGAGGAGGAGGAGGAGGAGGAGGAGGAGGAGGAGGAGGAGGAGGAGGAGGAGGAGGGGGGGGGAGGCCCGCTCTCAAATGGTGTGAAAACGTTTCCCAGGGGGGCCACAGGCGGGCTCAAAAGCCATGGCGGCCAATTTTCTGAGAAACCCGCAGGAGCCATCACTAAAGGTCACTCCAGCGAAACCTCCTCCTCCTCCTCCTCCTCCTCCTCCTCCTCCTCCTCCTAAGTGCACAACAGTGCTTCGCAGCGCGGCGCAGGTGGCGGCGACGGACCCGCAGGAGCCATCACTAAAGGTCACTCCAGCGAAAGACCACCCCTACACCCTGCGAAATGCTTAAGAAATCATGGGTTCAGAAATTCATAGTCTCAGAACTTGAGCAGAGGCCCAGAATTCCCATCGAAATCTTAGGATTTACATGGAAACATTAAGAATAATCGAGACTTTGGCCGAAAACTTGGGTTTTCTTAAGCATCGCCTAAGGTGTACGCATAGCCGAGGGAAAAGAAGAAGGGGGAGAAGAGATCCAGACAGGGGCCTCCGAGGATCTCCCAACCGTTGGGTGCTAAGACTGACGTCGTTCGTCAACTCGGATGGTCTCGCCAACGACGAGCACTATCCATACCCACTCCCTCGCGGCCCGAACACCGAGGCACGATCAGATGGATGCAGTCCGTGCGCGGCATCCGCACTGTGTCCGTGGGGTCGCAGCAGACGAGTCCAGACCGTGCGGCCGTGTATCTCGATATATGCTTCTCGCCAACTGTGGTCCCCAGGGGTCCTGCAGCCGCGCCACGCCGTAGCACACCAAGGCGCGGTAGGGGACGGACAACACTAGCTGCGCGAGAATCGACAGGCCCAGCCAGCGGCAGGCCGCCACGTGCACGCGCGCGAGAAGGAACATCTGCAGCATCCACCTGGGCTCTACCAGCCCTATCCCGCACCACGCGCTTCCCTCGCGACAACCACCCCCATTCCAGTCATATCCGCGTTTACTTGCCATCTGAACCTCCAACTCCCCCTTCATTATTAAATCAACCAACATCGAATTGGGTGACCGGATATAATCGGAATGTGCGTCGGATCGGGCCGCATCGGCACATAATCAACAACAAATCGGATCATCCGCGCCAAAATACATAGCGACGCCATGCAAACGTTCGTCCGTGCCAGATCGTCGGAACACCAGAATCGAATCAGATCGGGCAAGCCACACTTTACTTGTTCAGGTCGATCAGGATCCTGCCATCATCAACCTAATCCTTTGTCTTCGCCTCTCCTCTCTCCCCTCCTCCCCTCCTCATCATCTCCCTGTTCCTCCTCCTGCGCGCCCCTCTTCGTACTCATCCTCCCCTCTTCCAACCCTCGTGGTGGCACTGCACTCCTCGTCTGAATTCCGCTCTCCCTGTGTTCTGCGCCTACCGCCCTCCCCCCGACTTCTTCCTCCCCCCCCTTCTACCTTCGTGGCGCCATCCTTACCTCCCCTTCGCACACCCCTCCTCCTCTTCCTCCTCCTCCTCCTCCTCCTCCTCCTCCCATTCCCCCAGCCTTCCTCCCCCTCCTCCGCCTACTCGTCCAGGTCCCTTTGCTCCCTCATCATTTTCGCGATGCCAGCCTCCCCCCCCCGCATCCGTCTCTCGCAACTTTCGCTTTTCCTCCTACCCATGCGCTCAATCCTCCCCCCCATAACCACCTCCCGCGCCCTCCTCTGCACACGCACACACACACACACACACGCACACACGCACACACACACACACACACGCCGGAAACATCGACAGAACAACAGGCCCAACGCCCCTGCCCCCGTTTCGCCGCACAGAGCCGGACTTGAAACGTGCCCCCTCCAAACCCCGACACCACAGCGCCTGCAGGCTATTGCCGCCGTCGTCGTCGCCGTCGCCTTGGAAGAGCGGGCTGCCTGCGTACATGTTTACGTTTTTCTAGCACTGGAGCCTCCCAAGCACTCGGACTGCTCAAATTATCTGTACACCCACAATGGGGGGAGCGCGTACAAGCAACACAAAAACTAAAAGGCGGGAGCCGCGGCGCAACGATAATTCCACAACCTCAAGCACAAACGCGCGCACGCCCTGCTTTGTCAACGGGCAGAACGCTCCCGCGGCAATCCGCCAGACGTCCACTGAACGCACAGCGTAGCCCTCCGCGCACGCACCCCAATTCCAAAAACCATGATCGCATCGGCGGCCGTAAATTGCACTTTTTCCCGTCCGTAATTCACCCGCGCGTTCGCCTTTCTGCGTGCGTTCGACAGAAACGCGCCACTGACTGCAATGAGAGCGCGCTGACGCCGACAACGCAAACGCTTTCCAAACGCATTTTTGTAATGCAGGTACCCCCTTCTAGTCCCGTTCCTCTCTCTCTCTCTCTGTTCCCGTCTTCGCCCCTTGTCTCCATCGGCTCTGCCGTCGCTCATGTTTCGGCTCGAGGATTCCCAGCGAGACCAGCGAGCCTTCCAGGAAGTTGATTCGCGCCGCGGGGGAAACAGATCCCCTCGCTTCTTGCGCTGGCACTGCGAAGTTGCGGTGGTACGGACTGGCTGCAATCGTCGGGTGGAACGCAGGCGACGTAGCAGACGGGGGCCGTCCTTTTTGGGCGGCGGCCGAAGAGTTCGAGGATTCGGTGGAGAGCGACTACGAAATTGTCGACGGCATCGACGTCAAGGGTACCAGAGGCGCTGCCCAGATGGCGCCCTGGTCGAGGCGGAGTATGATGTACTACGAGACGGGGCCCTCGCAAGGGGTGGTGATGTCACTCGTGTCTCGGGTCGGGAAGTCGAACAGTACGACGTGGACGGCATGCGACCCGCCCGTGAGGGTTCAGATTATCAACGTTCGCGACAACGACCGAGTGTTCACGAAACCAGTTAAAGAGCTGCCCTGGCCAGGTCTGAGCAGTTCGAGCAGGGGCAGGGCACTGGCGACCTCGGAGCGGCTCATCTCACGTCGGGAGCTGGAGGCCGAGCAGGCGAAATCCCCCTCCGCGCCCCAGTCGAAGTTCCAGAAGATGAAGAAGCGCAGAAGGACGGCGGACGTCTTCGACTGGCTCAAGAGTGGGGTGGTGAACTCGTTCAGTTTCTTCTGGATGTGGAGGTCGGCTGGAGGTTCGCTTGCGGTGCTTTTTTTTTCTGGCCTGGAAGACGCGGCGGCATCTTGGTTCGGGCCCGGAGCTGCGGAGCGCGCGTGGCTCACTCCCAGCGGCGGGGGGGCTCGCCGAGGAAGCGCAAAGGTGATTTGGAAACGCAAAAAAAATAAACCGAGGAGATGCACGAGCCGGGCGAGTTCGAGCAGATCGCTACCTCGGCCGCGTCGCAGTGCCTGCTTTACTCCTTGGGGCAGCAGCTGCTCTTTGGAGGATGGCTATCTAAGCTGCGGCGGGGCAAAGACAGCGACGGCGAGAGCGAGGCGTCGGTCTCCGAAATGGTGAACGGGACGGCGGTGGCTGATTCAGATGACGAGCCCGACTCTAGACACTTGTTCACAAAACTGGCGCGAGGGCAGAACGCGCCCCAGGCGTCCGCGGCTTCGCTCGCGGGCCTAGTCAAGATGCAGGCCGGTAGCGCGGAAGAAGAGTTAGTGGGCGCGCCGAGAAGGCGCGCGGGCCCGCGTCGGGCCGACGGATGCGCAGGCCGATGACTTCCAGCTGAACCTGCAGGGGGGCACGAGGAGGCGGTCTCGGCCGACTTCGCGGCGGCGGTGACGGGCGGCGCGGCACTGGCGATTTTTACTTCGGGGGCGGCGGGCAGCCGGGATAAGATATGCTCACCCGGGAGTGCCATCGCGGGCGGGGCGACGGCGCAGTTGTAGATCGAAGCTCGCAAATATCACGGGGGGGCTCCTGGCTACGTGGCATTCCTATCGAGAGGTCGGCGGCGCGCGCGTCGGTGGGGCGCGGGCCCGCGCGGCCCCCGCAGCGTTCGCCCGTCTGTGCAAGAGTGGGCGCGGCTCGAGGGCGAGGCTCGAGGACTGGTTGAGGTCGTGGGAGCTGACGAAGTGCTCGATCGCTTCCGAGATCTACATGCTGGCGGCCGCGCTGGACAAGACGATGGCCTGTGGGGGGTTTGGCGCGCTGATCAACCCACGAGCGGAGGAGCTGACTTTCCTCGGGATCTGCTCGGTCTTCAAAGAACATGAGTTTGCGGAGGTCGAGACTGACCGGCGCGGGCCCGAGTCCGCGAACGGGGCCAAGTGGAAGAGCAAAGTCTGGGGCTACGCGGAAAAACATCTGGGCCTGACAAATTTCTCCCCCCGGCGCGATGGCGGCCGATGATGAGGCCGCGGAGCGCTTAACGAAGAAGGCGCCATCAACGAGCACCTCCCGCTCGGTGGGGCCGCGTCGGGGCGGGGCAGCGCGGGCGAAGAAGTTGCGGCGAGGGAATTCGCGGCAAACCGACGCCAAGTCAGGTCAGGTCACGCCCGTGCGCCGGAAGGCGAGCCCATGAAGGGCGCAGGCGGCGGCAATCGGCAGCGCGCAATGCACGCGCGCGCCACATTTAAGGACAGCGGTACGTGCGTCTAAGAAAAAAGGAGGACTCATTAACCTGGCCTATATTTGTGGCGGTGCGCTCGAGCGTGCAGCAGATATTTAGGTAGCAGCGTCAGACAGCAGGGTGTTCGCACAATGGTTGCCCCTCTGTTGTTTTGGATCAAGACGCGGAGTGGAGAGAAGACATACTCCCTCACATGTTCAATGATAATGGCAGCAGAAGTGTTGAAACTCCGCGGCTCGCTCCTGAAAGCGTCTGGGGACCAAGAACGCCATTGAGAGCCAACCACGCGGCCGAAAACTTCCAATTGGCTTGTCCATGTAAGAGTCGGCCGCCCTGCTGCACGATAACCGCGCGGCGACCAATTCAGAACTCTGACGATGTACCTTGTCTCTGGCAGCTGCTGAACATATAGTGCAAACGACAATTACAGGTGAACGCATTGTTCTGCCCATGTGCGAATGCCAGCACCTTTGACGAAGTTGCGTGCGCGCTCGTGCCAAACATGTAGTGCATCATGCCACGGTGCGCCCCGATCAACGCCCGGAGGTGGTCAAACGATCCGTCGCACGAGGCGTCGGAATTCGATATCCATCGCTTTCAAATCTTCCACATATGTTGGGCGATGTTCTGCTGCAAAACACGCCGCCGATGTTGCGACAGAACTGAACAATGTCAACCTCTGTGTGATAGAGGCTCTCTTATCGCACAGAATACGGCGATTCGCATAAAATGCCTTGGTTGCACCTTGCATGCGGCATTTCAGATCCAGAGAGCGGGAGTCCGCCCCCCCTGTGGACAGCATGCAACCCAACCATATATGAGCCGAGTCTCGGTGGATCACGTCTATTGTCAACCCTTCCGGCGCGCGGGTCGCGGAGGGAGCTTGTGCGATAGTGGTCAACGCCTTGGTCTTCTTAGCGTTGAGAACAAGCCCTACCTTGCGCAGCTCCAACACGAGCGCGTCGAGTAAGAACACACGCCTCCACTTCCGAAGATGCGAAAAGAAGCAAGTCGTCCGCGAATCGCAAGTTCGTCAAATGCTCTCCGCCATCTCCAAGATGTATTCCCAAATGTCCAACGTTCTGCTTCCAGCGCGACTTTGCCCACTCCATGGCGGATGTGAACAACTTAGCACTCAGTGCGCACCCTGGGCGGACGCCAGCGGAAACTGGCAATTCATCAATGTAGGTGCTGTCGCCCGCAATGACACCAACTTGATCCGCATAGAGTTGTCGAATGAGCCATGCCATATGTTCGGGCACCCCATGATCATGGAGTGCTTGCCATAGTGGGCCCCATGCCACCTTGTCAATCGCTTTCGACAAATCCAAACTGACGGTCCAAATAGGCAATCCTACGGCGAGCGTTTTCTGGAAGACAATGTTGGCAATAACCGCGTGTTCCTCG